CAGGAAGGGGCAGGGCTTATCCCTTCTTAAGCCCAGGTAGGAGGCCAGGAGAGCAGTCCCTCTCCAGCAGCTGTGGGAGTAGGGACTCAGCTCGGACAGACAGAGGGGAGGACTCTGGCAGTGAGAGCATCTCCCGGTCGCTACTGGGGTTGGAGAGCCCTCCTTACCCTCTGCTCCCTCACTCTCTAGCAGGGAGTAGATTTTGTTTGACCGGATGGTCTAGTTTTTATGTTGTAGCCCAGGGGCTTTATGTTTTATGTTTACGGTTTTGACCAGAGGACCGGGTGAGGCTGTTAGGGGTTGGAGGAGGCCTCATAGGGACTCCCCAGTAACGTGGGGGTTCCTGGCACCTGACAGGGTGCAGCATTTGTGGGGTGCAGTGGCCCTAACTCCAGAGCGAGAGAGAGGGGGCAGCGAGGAGCCCCAGAGTGAGAGAGAGGGGTCAGTGAGGAGCCCCAGGAGTAAAGAGGAGGGCCAGAACATAACAGGGCCCAGGTCAAGCCACGTCAACTCCATCTGCGAGGCTTGGGCTGCGGTGTAGGGGAGGAAAAGTAGCTGCAGGTAGCGCCCCCTGTCACCGGGGCACAGGAAAAAATGGGCAGCCTCCCGCTGATTACAACTATCTTCTAATCAAGTAAGATCAAGGCGTGACAGGCGAGTAAGCAGGCGGTTGGCCCATTGCAGGAGGGCGGAGCCACCCCGGAAAGGCTCTGATAGCGATACTCCTGTCACAGAATGTTTTCACTGACTTAAATAGACACTGATTCTGGCCCTTAGTATGAGTAACTCTTCCATATTGAATAATACAATTCACAGATCCTTTGTCCAATTGTTTTCCATGTCTATAGGAAAGAAGATTATGGCACTTCCCTTGAAAGACAATCCCAACCAAGAGATTTTATGATTAGAATTTTGGAGTAGACAGCCCATTTGTACTTCCTTTATCACTTGCAGTCTGTTACTTCTGGTTATATCTTATGGCACCATGATGAGTAATTCCCCTCCCTTTCAGTATTCAGACCATCCAAATATCTGTAGAAGATTATTGGGTCCCCATCCACGCTACCTTTGATTATCACTTAGCATAAGCATCAGCTGCCAATTTCAGATATATTGTTTTAGAACCTGGGATCTTTCTTGATTCTTGGCTGATTTTTCTTCTCCTCTCCCTAAAAGTTCTCATTCTTGACTCTCTAGGCCCACTGACCCTTCCTTGTCCTCCAGAATGTCTAGTAACATAAATAACTTTTTTCTGTTTTTCACCTTTATATTCAAAATCCTTATTTATTATTTTGACTCAATGGCTTGTACTTATGGTATACAACAATTCATAATTCCTTTAATACCAACACTTCTATTGGGTTTACCAGTCATCATATGTTTTCCATTATTTGTATATAGCTCATATATATACAATCCATCCTTGTGACTGTAGTTTGGAGTCTACAACTTTCTTGGCTCATTCCATCTGAGCCTTTTTTGATTGAAGACAGAAAAGCAAAACTTTTAAAACTTATGTGGAGCTATACATATACAATGTTTTAATCATTATGCCATTTTGGAATCATTATGTTAAATCAAAAGAAGCCATATCTACTGAGAGCTACAATGATATACCAAGGTAAAGAGTAATCAAAAAGAAATGCAAATGAGACAAAAATCCACAGAGTAATAATACACAGAGGGCGTGTATACACGTTCATTAATGCTCCATAGTTACTGCTCATGAAGTTTAATACTTGGTTAACCAAGTACTAAAGTAATATGCAGTAATTCATGCTACTGTGCAGCAGCACTGGTCCATGGGTTTTTAGTGATGCTTACTGTGCAGTAGTTTGATACTACTGCACAGTAGTGTATTAGCACGGTTTTTGCCCGGCACACTACTGCACAGTGTTATTAGGTTACTGCACAGTTAGTGTCTCATGTAGATGTGCCCAGTGTATAGTAAAGTTGCACTACTTAAGATAAGGCAAAGGATACATTCAATTTTACACGAAGAAAGGGCCTAGAATACTAGAAATGTTCACAATGGGTATGGAGATACAAATCCTGGTTTTTAATGATACTAAGTATCAGACTTCTTGCAGGCCATCGTCATCTGCTCCTAATGTCATATCTTCTTTTTGATGGGTCCTGCTTGTGTCAAGGCTTGAACTCAGGGGTGTAACATTTTTGCATGTTTGAGCTGTATCCTGTCTTGTTTCCTTTCTATTGCTAAATGACTCTTACCACAGGACTCTTAGGAATTAAGCTATGCTTTTCCTTTTGCAGTTTTCTCATGCCTAAATTGTTTTTCCTTCTCAGTGCACTCTCTCAGGCAAGTTCCTATTGCTTTATACTTGATCCTCTTCATAAGTTAATGCCTCTTTACTTTCTCATTGATGGCTGATTCTGAAACAAAATGCTCTATCTACTCTTCCCCCATTTCTCTCTTCAAAACTCCCATACCTTTCCTACTGCTTCTTTCAGAGATTCAGGATTTCCTCTCCTCTCTTCTCCTATTCAGGGAGTTTTTAATTAAAATTAGAAATTACTAAAAATACAGTTTTGCAGTCCCAGTGTTTAATGTTCTAATTATATTCAAAAGTTCTAAATTATAAGTAAGGACCTACTTCACAGTTTTGCAGATTTAGTGTCCATGAAATCCACAAAATCAACAATAAAAAAACTTAATAAAAATAGAATGCTGGCTCCCCGGTGGGAGCCACCAGTCCTTGCTGCTGGGAGGGGAAGGTGCCAGCTGGTGAGGTGGCATGAAGGGCAGCAGACAAGATGATGGCTACATCCCCCCACCACTGGGGCCTCTCTGGCAATCAGCACCAAAGAGTGGGGCTTCAGGAAGGGCAGTCAGCAATCACAATGATGGCTGCTCTCATCCCTCCTTCCCTCCAGAGCCTCTCGGCACTGAGGGGCAGGGCCTGTCTGCCAATCAGCACTGAGGGGCAGGGCTGCCACAAAATCAGCTCTGTTTGCTGGGTTCTGGCCACAAAAACCCCTTTGTTTTGCCACAATTTAATGAGGTCTCTAATTATAAGGTAAGAAGCACATAGATTAGATTACGTGAACTACCTAATTCACAGCATCAGCAAAATGTTCCTTTCCTATATCTTGCTAAGTAACTAGTTTACCTGCAGTACTTACTATTAATGTTGCATCAGGTTGACTCTTAATGCTTATTTTATATAGCCACAAAACACTACTCTCAGGCAGAAAGCACTTTTTCCTTCCTTTTAGTAAGAAATTGAAAGACTTTTCCAAGGTACATGAGAAATCTGCAGTTGAGGCCAGAATTAAACCTGTATTTTTCAGATCTCCTAACGAAGTCTCCTAACAATAAGACTATCCTTCTGGTCCTAGCCTCTTCTCTCTCGGTCTCTGTCTCATGATTTTGCAGTCATAATGGCTCTGTGAATAGTAATCAAAATCAGGGAGGGGATAGGTAGCAACGGTTTCCAAGTGCTTGTAGAACATTAAGCACTGCAAGTATCACAACACACCTTGTGAAGCAGGCTAGCATTATGACAGGGGTATCAAAGGTCCAACCTGTGGGCTGGATCTGTTCTGCAGAGTCCCATCCTCTGGCCCCTGGTGTTATGTTTGAGTCTGGTGTTTGAGTTTGGTGTTATGTTTGAGTGTTATGTTGAGTTGGCCCATATATGACATGTATAGGGCCTGGGATGCACACTGCACACACTGCCTGCTCCAACCAGCTCAGGACCTGTGCTACACATAGCTACTCCTTTGCATGATCTGGGACACACACCTCACATGGTGTCTGCTCGGGTCAGTCCAGGACCCATCCTGACTGTGATGTGCCCTCTCCCCACCACCAGCCAGAGTAGGTGCCACATGTGCTGGATCCGGCATGGCGGGGGGAGGGATGGGGAGGGCACAGGTCCATAGGGCTGGCCACATGCCGTTCTTTTTGCTTGTGAGTGGCCCTTTCCCAGTCATCTGGCTCCAAGGAGCCAGATGAGTTTGACACCCCCGCATTATGACATTCGTTCTGGAGATGAGTAAGTGATGGGCTAGAAAGGTTACACAAGTTATTCAATGTCACAAAGCAGATTAGTGGCAGAGATGGGAGTAGACTCTCCAGAGACTCCTGATAGCTAGTTTCCTGGTACGGTCCCTGAGGACATCTTCTCCGTAATACAGTAGCTATACCATACACAGTCATCTACTCAAAAAATGCACAGGAGATACATATTAAATAAATCTCAGTGCAGCAAACAAATCATCTTACAGTGAGTGTAGCTCATTATCATACACTTCATAAGACACAGGTTTCTTTTGTAGCCTTGCACCATTGTTCCAGTAACTAGCAAAGCACACACTATGACTCATGAATCAAATATCCATTTTCTTCTGTAAGCATGTTTTTGTTTCCACAGCTCCATCACGTCTCATGATGAGAAGTTGCATTTCCAACTGACTTTAAATTTGATTTTTTTTGCACATTCTTAAGATCTGATTCTCTGTAGTTTAAATATTCTCATTCCTTAAAGTCAGAGAGATAAACTGAGAGTGCTTTTGAAAGGGCTCAATAAGAAAGGTACTAAATATGCCCTCTAAATTAATATTGCTCCATCAGCTGTAAGCAGAAGTTTCCATTGATTTCAGTAAGACTGTGTGTCTAGATCTTGATGGTACAGACTACCCGGGAGAGGCAGGGAGCAGAGTGCCTAAACCATAACCACCCCCTCCCCCAAAAGCTAAATTAGAGTTAAGTGTGAAAGTAGATAGCAGTGATTTTTAAAGGTAAAAACAAGAATCTTATCATTGTCCCTGAAACAAGAAATTCAGCGTTAGGGTTAAACTTAAAAGAAATCAAACCTGTTTAGGAATGCTTAGCTGAGATATCCAGACAACCTTAACTCTTAACTCTGCCCTTCAGTTTTCCTATGAAGAAAAAAAATTGAAAGAAGCCCTGTAAATCTCAAAATTAATTTATTTTGGGTCTATGAAGCACTCTGCTGGTAGTCAAAAGGCCTGGATTCACTTCCTGGCCCTGCTACTAGCCTGCTGGGTGACTATGGCAGTCAGTCAAAGTTTCTCCATCTGTAAAATCCAGTTAAAGCTTCTGATTTCCTTTGTAAAATATTTTGAGATGTGCTGATGTACCATGCTGTACCAGTATCAGGTATGAATTTTTGGTAAAAAATATTAGTCATAATTATATGATCACCAGTTGGGAGATCTCGTGACAGTTAAGGAAACCCTGCAAAGCTTGCTAAGGCTATTGTTCTTGGGAACGGCAGAGGATTCAGCAAGGCATGCTGTGAGAAGAGCAGCCTGTATAAGCAGATCCCTCCACCTCAGTAATGGAAGGAGGTACATTTTGAGTCCTGCAGTTTTGTTGGGAAGAAAAACTTTTAGGGGAAAAAATCCTCTATGACGAATCGGGTTTCAGAACCATGTAAGAAAGGAAACATGAGACAGGAGATTCCTTTACTAAAAGTAACCTGAGAGAGAACATTTTATGGCTGGCCTGTAATACTTCCAAAGGACTAGGAAAAGCAAACCCGGTGGGAATCACAGAATATTCCTAGTTTTACTGATTGCTCAAGGGCTGTGGCCTAATTTTTGTCTTGGAGTTTGCTGCAACGGCAGGAACAAACTCTGCTGTGGTCTCTTCTGCCAGCATTGACGGCTGCTGCCATCGCAGAGGTGCAAGGAAACAGCTGTTTAGCAGTTCCTGCCCTCACTGCCTCGAGGCTTGGGAGGTGGAGGGAAGAGCACCCTCTTCGGATGGTTAGCTGCATAGATGGCCTGAAAGGCATGCCTGAAGACAGTTTGCAATTAAAGAAATTATTTTGCAAAAATCTTGTTGATCTAATAAAAGATATCACCTCTGTCCATGAACCCTGATTGCTTTTTCCTCTAGACCAATACGGCTACAACCTGGACACCTGCCTGAAGACAGGGCATTCCCCGACAAGCTCAAAGGCATGGTTCCTGCCTTGAGGTGTTTACAGGCTAATATGACATGGCAGTGTGAGGAAAAACAGAGTAGAGAGAGGCAATCAAGGGAAAGGGACACTGTGGGCTAAAAGAAAATGTAATTGCTTCAGGTTCTGTAAACAATATCTTTTATTTGATGAATTTCTCATGATGCCGTATTTGTACGTCCAGGAAAGATCGCGATGTTCTTAGAATTTAGGGAGGCTGGATGCAATGACCGGAGCTGACATTTACCTGGCACGCCGCTTGGAGCAGCTCTAGCCTGGCACAATATAGCTTGGACGTGGGTGCTGGCTGGGCAGCAGTCTACATGAGGCACAGAAAAGGGGGAGGGGAGGGGAGGGGGGAACAGGAAGAGGGCAGACCTGCTGTGGCCTGAGGAGCTCCAGTGAGGCATCACCATGCACAAACGGTAGTCTGGGGAGCTTGTACCAATGCTTTGGTTGGTTTTTGGGGGGCGAGAGGTTGAGATTTCACGTCTCAGGCCAAATAAGTTCTGAATTCTATTGACGGAGCAAAGCTCAATTGTTCAAGTCTGCATGGTGCTAGGATTGAGCTGGTACCAGGTATATCAGGGGACAGCACATTGTACCAGGGGCTGCAGGCTGGTGCAGATTCAGGCTAGGGCCCTGGAACCTGAGTTACTCACAGGACATCATGAGCAAAAGAGAAGTGAATGCATGCATATGACACGTGCTTGTGGGGCTAGGATCACTACTCCCAGGACAGAGCCTATGGGGGCTGCTGCTCACTTCCTCCAGGACACTTGATTTTGTTATCTTGGTTCCAGAAACGGAGCCAGGCAGCTTTTGTTCCAGATCCATCTTCCAGCCTCTCCCAGGCAGGATCAGCCACTGGAGGATTGGAGAGCAGGGTTCATGAGAACTGACATTAATGTATTAGCATAACGCTCTCAGTGAATGAGGGATTCCCTGGAAATTACTTCCTTACTGGGCCCTCCTTCCTCCCCCTGCAGAAATCAGACACCGGATTTCTAATCACTCCCCTTTTCAGGAAAAGCTGCTCTGCTCTTTCTGTACGAAGAAGCTTTCTCTCTGCATTAATTTCCCTCTACCGCTTGCCATGCAACTTTACACTTTCCTCTCCAGCTAGGAGTTTGCTAAATACGCTGAGTCCACTGTATTGTTTCCCCCAACTAAAACATGCCATATGTCCAGAGAAGCTGGATTGCAAACTTTTCCTTTTGGGTTCAGTTCCTTCACATTCCAGTGCTCTGCTATGGTAGAAATCCTCCACCGGGCAGATTTTTCTATCCAGACAAGAAGCAAGGTCAGTGGCTGCTCTCATTTTAATTAAACAATTGTGTTTAACTCTAAACTTGGCATCCTTTCTCCCCATGCTCCTGATGGAAACAACCCAGGGTCACAAAGCTCTAAGTAAAGAGGTTCAGTTTATTCCTTTGTATGTGGTGTCTGCTGAAACCTCTGCTTCTGTATTTGCACAGTGTTTCATTACTTTTAGAGTATCTAACTTCCAAGCAGCTCTGTGATTGATTTATTTTCACCAAGTCAGACTTGCTGCTTTCCAACATTAAGCACATACTGAAGACTAAACCTTGCAATGGGCTGTGTGAGTTGCATTTTTACTTTAATCTTGCAATGTACCATTGACTAAAGTAGCTCACAGCATTTTGGAATATAAACTTGTGGCACTCTCCTTGTCACACTGTTGAGACAAAGAGCTTGCAACTTTTGATTTTAAACGTGATACCAATAATACATAATGCTGACAGCTCAGACTGGGTAGTTCTGTTATTTTCTGGAAGCAATGAGGTTAGATTGCAGTTGAACAGTCTATTGTTGAAACCTATTTGCATTATACATTTAATCTTAAGAGTCACCTATCTAAAAGCCTATATCATCATAACATTTAGGAAGTTGTGTCCTGTAAATGTACCTTCTCTTCTGCATAGAAACCTCTGCAATGCTATGATGCAGCACCATGTATTAGAGAAGAAATATAGCCATTTGGAACCCAGATTGCCTCCCTCCGAATGCTAAATCGATTGTGGTTATTTCTTTCCAGTGAGGAGGGGAAATTAAGCCACTGAACTGTATCTGAGTGAAACGTTTCAGTTGTGGTGTGGTGTGGGGTCAGAAGGAGACGTCTCCTCAGCTGTATAGATTGACATAACTCTTAGAAAATGGGGTAATGGCGTTACCTGGCCTTCGTTGTGTACCTGACTAATACTTCTGCAAGGTTTTGGACAATCTGAAAAACCAATCTCTAAGTGAAAAAACCACAGGTTTGGGAACACTGATGCTGCAGAAAGCCTCAGCACAGCAGGAAAGTGGGAGATGACGAAAATTTCACATTTTGAAAATGGTTTTCTAGTCTAGTCTCCAGGCTTCATCCTGATGATTAAAGAGATTGGGCACTGGGGAGAAAAATCACCTACATGTCTCAGGCCTTATGAAAAAACAACTGGATAAATAAATTGGCCAAGGACTAAACAACACATTACCTTGGTGTTTATCACTGGCTGCAGGAAAAACCAGTAGAAATGATCATTTGTCTTGGTGACAATAAGAGGAAGAGGGGTAGGTTAGGGAGATCAGGAAGAGGTGACTGTTGCCTTGCCAGGCTCTGGGAAATGGATGTAGAATATAAATGCATCTTCTATATATCAAAAGCTCTCTATTTTTTCTAAGAGTCTAAAAATGGTTTTGAATAAACAAAAATCCCAACCTGACTTACAGTTGTTTGCTGCTGGGAAAGAGAAGAGGATTTAGTTTTGTGGACTGATGCAGTGGTAAGTCTGAAGTGTTATCACAATCAGAAAGGAGATTCCAGAAATAAGCTAAACCCAGCCTCTCATCTAGCCGAAGTGACTACAGATGTTCTATTCAGTAAGTGGCTGGAGCAAATGTGGCTTACTGGGCATGTGCAAACGACATCTAAGAAGAACTATTGTTAAAAGCTGAAAGTGTATTTGAATTCATATTCCCTCTGGGTGAATCTGCTGTTCCTCTGAATTCTCCAAGTACACTTAGAGCTAAGTACACATAGTCTTTCTCTAGCCCTGGAGGGGCTCCCTCCAGAAACAGACAATGACAATGGACAATGATCTGTATGCTATCCAGATGGGTCAAAGGAAGTCGGGGTGAAACAGTGCCAAAGACATGTTGGAAACTTGAAGCCAGGGTGCAACAATGGCAAGTGATAAAGTATCTCTTCTTGTAAAGGGACTTTATCAACTTAAAACACATCTTTCTGTCTGAAAGTCTCAGATTCTCTCATGTTACATGAGTCACCACTTAGAGACCAGACCATTTAAGAAAGCAAATATTTGTCTCTGTTTCCATTTGATTACTGTGTGCATTTGTCAGCGTTTTGTGCACCATAATTTTCAATACAAGTATGCAGTCATTGAGATTTGACTGCATACTGCAAAATATGAGACAAAAACACCCCAACAGTTTAAAAGACAAGCAAACATGTCTGCAACCTACCAAACTAGCACCTAAACTCATTGGAAATCTCTCACAATCAAGGATGATTGTCTTATCTGTGGGTCTGAAGATGGTTAATGAGGCCTACCTGGGATCAACAGACTGCTGCAGCTTGGGCACAAGTTTCTGTGTGGGGTGGGTGACTCTGCATTCTTGGTTTGGTTCACGACATGCTGTTTCTACTGCTCCTGTTTTTCCATCTCCTGTTCTCGTTGTTAAGTTTCAAAGTATTGAGACCTTTGCAGCAGACTCTCCCTCCATTTGGGGCAGTCCTGGGTGATAGTCTCCCACAAATTGATATTGATGCTGCATTTTTTTCAAGCTGGCTTTGAGGATGTCCTTGAAGCACTTTCTCTGCTATCCTCTTGAGCATATGCCTTGACTGAGCTGGGAGAATAAAACTTGCTTTGGGAGTCAGGAGTTGGGTATCTGGAAGATATGGCTGGCCTGGCGAAATTGATGTCGGATGAACAGTGCCCTCACTGATCATGGTGTTTGCTTGCGAAAGGATACTAACATTGGTGTGTCTGTCTACCCACTGGATTCACAGGAGCTTCTGCAGGCAGTGTTGATGGTACTTATCATAGAATCATAGAATCATAGAAGTCGGGTTGGAAGGGACC